TCAACCATCGGGTTCGCATCAGGTGTATTGCCGTTCGAGCCGGCGATTCACGATTCCGCATATACCTTTTCATTTACACGATTCCGCACAAAACTAATTTGTGACCGATTGTATTTTAAAAATAATTGTAGACATACAAATGGTTAAAGATGATGTGTGTCAGTCATCAGTCATCACCTTAAGCAGAAAACTTGAAACAGTAATATAATGATGCTTCAATCTCCAACTATTAGTTTAAGTTTTCGACAAAATCAATTTTGTATTTTTGTTATAATGAAAAACAGTAGATTTAAAGTTGACAACATTTGTAAATAATTTTGTAATTCAAAAATTAAAAATTTATAAAATATTCAATTTTTATAGGCGCATTCACAGCTATGTTGTGTATTGTGTAGTCGTCTCTTGCATTGGTGTGGTAACTATGGGTACAACAATACAACTGCTAACCATATTGGTTTAAAAATTGAGCTGTAATCAATTCTTGGTGTGCTGGGTTGCAACTTGGTTATTACATGATGCTAAAATCATATTACGTAACGTCCAATCAGAATGCGATTTGATCGACACGACTCGACACACGACGTAGCTTTGAACCCGGTTTAAGGATTGTCAATTTCAGTACAAGGTTTCTCATAAGTAGTTCATACTGTAGTCTGTAATTATAAAAACTAAAAAATATATTATAATCACGGTTTTTGTATAGTAATTTTAGAGGTGCATGAAGTTAGTGGGAAAATTCAAGCACATTCGAGCTATAATACCATTATTTAGTGCTCAATTATTTGAACTAAATTAGATATTTTAACGAAGAATAAAGATTTAAGTTATTATGTTGTGATTTCATTTCAAATTCCAGTGGACAGTGGACACACTACAACTATGACTTATGGGTTATTGTACAACACAGCGGTACTCACTTGTCCACCTTTATTGATTTTTATTATTACTAATAATTATTTATTATATATTATTATTGTATGTAACTGCCAATCATTATTACATGCTACACGAATAAACAAATAAAATTCAATTTAATCTATAGTAGATATAATTTTCTTCTGAACAGCGCGATTCTAATTTTTACTCTCGTCATATAAGCCCAATTGAAGTCTTATTTGTTTTTTTTGAGCCACAGCCATGGAATGCAGCCAATAACAATATAGCATCAATATGTAGAGGAGCACGTACAGGATGACTGTAATAAAATATACATAACAAATATAATAAGCAGGTCAGTAGTGTAACTGAGCTCGATTTGGTGGTGGAGAGCTATTATTCTTCAGTAGAACTCTTGATAAGGAGGTTAACCCGCATTCCAACAATTTTTTTCTACAGTGTTATTATAATTAGGGCTGTGAATTTATAGGAAAGTGAATTTTTTTTTGGTGATTGTAAAACATAACTTTGTTAGTACATAATTTGAATTATGTAACTACGAATCTATCTAGGTGAATGAACTTTTATTTTGCATATTTTTGCATTTTTAGGTCTTATTTTGCTTTTTTAGTTCATTTTCTAGTATTTTTTAATCAAATTCCGTAAATTGACTTTAAAAACATTTATTTTTATTTTACACCGACTGTAAATTCTCCAGGTTACTGAACTGTCCAGAACGTCCCTCCCAGATGAAGTCAGCTTTGATTACATTTTTTTTAATAAATAAACATTTTTTTATACTAATAATGTTTAATACCCTGTACCTAATATTAATATAAATATAAAAATTAAATTAAAAACCATTTTAAATGAATTTTATTTTATTTTTTTTTGTATTTTAAGTGCATATTTTGCATTTTAGGTGCATATTTATTGCATTTTTTTTGGCATTTTATAAGGTTTTTTAGTGCATTAAATTCACAGCCCTAATTATAATATATATATTTTTTAGTTTATTTAATGCTATTTTGACAATTGTATAGTACTTATAGATGCATTTTTAAAATATTACCATTTGCTACATGCTATATTGTACTTACAGCTTATGTGCTATGGTATTAATAATATTATTAAACTAATTTATTTTACTAAAAAAAAATATTTAATTTATAATATTTATATTATAGTTACCTATAACATATAAACTTACTGAAAATTCGCATAATAAAATGGAAGAATTTGACATGAACCCAACTCGAACCATCATCACTTAAACATAAGATGTTTATTTAAAAATAATCCTATACCAATTAATTGGCATTATAATAACAGTAAACAAATTTACTGCAATATTGAACTAAAAAAAAATTAATTATGATAATAAATATAGTTATGTACTCAGTAGTGCGGAAAAGAACAGAACAAATGTCAAACACGCATCCAATTGCAGTTAGGATCAGTGCATAAGGCATTGCACGATTGATATTTCCCTAAAAAATATATATATTATATTATTATGTAACAATCTATTGGTAAATAATTGTAAAAATACTTTTAAACGATATTATATATAAAAAAAAAACATTTTTTAAAAAACACACTTTTCTAAAAAACAATACAAAAAAATAATGAAAAATTTACTGATGAAAATTTAAAAGTGTGTGGTGCATTATACAAAACATTTAAAGCCGAGCTAAGTCTCACATACACTTCTATGTTCAATCCTGTTTATAAGATAGTGACTGGGAGTATAATATGTCAAGTGTAAGAGCACCACACACTTTTAAATTTTTCATCAGTACTTACATTTTTCACTATTTTTTTGTATTGTTTTTTTTAGAAAAGTGTGTTTTTAAAAAAATGTTTTTTTTATTTTTTCCTCGGAGATGACTTTGCACCCCTGTCTTCGCCGACCTGAAGGTCCGGGTCCCAAAATGACAACGGATTATTGTATTGTCATCCAAGACCAAGGTCTATACCAATTTTCAGAATTTTTCATCGTCAAAAAGTGCCTCAAATCGAGCCTCAAAAGATTTGATTACAGACAAACAGACAAACAGACGTGAAAGCAAACTTAAGAAAAGTGTATAGTAAAAAGGTAAGTCTTTGCCATAGTAAATAATAAATAATATCATAATAAATATCTGTTTCAATAACCAGATTTGACTCCTTACTTTATATGCATAATTTATTATATGGAGGACCTTACCTTCAACAGAGCTCCGAAGACAACAACGACTGCGATGTAGTTTACTGAATTCGTCAACTTGAAATACGTCAACACCTGGTATAAGATTATCGAGACAGTGTGTTTATCAACATGGTATATATAATATGATTTAATCCTTATAGGTATAGGTACGTATAAAAGAACAGGCCGGACGTGTTTTATGTTCAGGTTTTTAGACAGGCATATTTTGTAGAAAATATCACAATTATTATTTTTTTCCATCGAAAAAACTACTTGTTATATTCAGCTAATTTAGTAGGTACGCTATATATTATATTTGCCTCGGCTAAGTTTAATTTGACGCAGAGACCTAAAGTCGTTTTTACATGGATCGACGTAAAACGTTTATTAAAATAATATATTAAAGTGATAAAAAAGTTAAAAGCATAATAATATTATTGTATATGAAAGCGTCCACTTTATTATGATTCACAGTGAATGATTTTGGGTGTAATTGACTTACAGACCTAATTTTTTAAAAAATTAGACGCTGCGTGCTTGCGTTATACTGTATTTAAACAGGTAACAAAAAAAAAAAAACATAAATAACTACGTAGCCTCGTTAATATGCATGGGCGTTCTCACGGGGGGGGGGGATATGGGGGATACATCCCCCCCCAAGGTTCTTTATTTTTTTACATATTAGTAATACACGTTTTGTCTACTTTTGATATGTGTTTGTGTTTTCAATATTGACTTGGTAGTTATTATTTTTTTTTTTTTTGCAATTTTTCTTTATCGTGATTATTGATTCCACCAGCCATAAACAATATTATTATTTATCACTGATAATTATAACATGTAACAGGCAATTCGCTTTACAATTGATTTGTACTGTATTTTTGTAAACAATCACTCCGTCAACTTTATAAATTCCCAACGTCAGAAAAAATGTAAAGGTAAGATACACAATGATAACACCACAGTGATAAAATAAAATAAATAATTTAAACTAGAGATGGAAAACGTTTTTAAAAAACGTTAGTAAACGGAAAAAAAACGAAAACAATGAACAAAACAAAAACAAAAAACCATAACAAAAAATCCCAAAAACAGAAAAAAAATTAATTACGAAATCAAAAACGAAAACGCAAATAAATTATAGTATTATACATTATTATATTAATAACACGAAAAAAAACATGTTACTTAACTATTTACTTTTTAATCTTTACCAACAATGCTCTATTAAAATTTAAAAACATTTTTATTTGAAATCAAGAATAATTAATTTTAATTTTTAACTCTTAAGTGCATTTCTAAATTGCTAAATTTACTACTATAAAAAAAAAAAACAATATTATCAAAAACAATATAGAAAAATAACGTTTTTAAAAACATTAATCAAAAACAAAAACGAAAAAATTAAAAAC